TTTGAAATACATATAAAGTGTACTGCATCTACGTAAAATACAGATTTCACTTATATAAAATATGCAGTTCCATCGCATGTATTTCTCCATTTATACTATAATCCATCTCTGAATTACCCTCACTGAATAGACTGCAACTTACACAAAAATTATATAAATCTTTTTTTTCGTCCGAGAATTTTTGTGCAACTTACACAATAAATATATGGGTTTTACTTTATCTGAAAATCTTTTTGCTAGTCACATTAATCAGAAAAGTTGCCAGTTGCGTAGTTGGAGAACCATTCTGTGAATTGAGAACTCTTCCAGCAGTATTTATACTCCGGTCCTCTGCTGTTTCATCTTCGCATGCTTCTTCACTATTGATGCAACTGGCAACTTCTTCCGTTCTTGCCTCAGATTTCTTAGATCTGAGAGAGAATCGCATGGAATCGGTTTTAAATTATTCGAAAATTATTTTATATTGCTGCCAAATTACTTTATATTGCTATTGCTTTCAGTTTAGTGCTGTTATAAACTGGTAACGTAATATGCGCCATCCAGTCTTATTTGATATTCCATTTTTAGGAGAGCGAAAAGTTTCGAATTTTTCGTTTTTTTAAGTATCCCCGCCTCTCAGTGGAAGCGAAAAACGCCCCGCGGCGTTGACTTTCGACTTTTGGCCTTGTGAAATATGTTTTATATGTGATATCCAATCTCCTCCAGTTTACTCAGTAAAAAATTCTTGAAAGATTAAGGTATTAATGATTATATATATGCATAAAATATAAAGCCGTATTTAAAAAATGTAAAAATTACCAAAAAATAGTCAAATAAACAAAAATAATTGGAAATGTTTCGATTCTTCAAATCAGTTACATCCCTATTCGGCCCACTACTGGCCTTCGTGATGGCCTTTTTCTAGGTGCCAAAGTGTTTTCATCTCATAGAATATGAAATATACAAGGGAAGAGACAGTGTTTGGTTTTTTTATTGTAAAATGTGTGTATTTCTTAGCGTCATGGATTTTTTAAGGGCAAACAGGGAAGCCAGCAGAGTGGAAGTACTGAAAAGAGATCGAAACAAGGCAAGCAGCAGCAGCAACAGAAAGTCACAGAGTTACCGCAAAAGAGTGCTCGCAAAACAGCAGCAACACCGAAACGAAAATTACCAGATTCACTTTCAACCTCTGAAACTTCCTCTCTCTGCTCTGCTGTATCTTCGCCAGCTTCTGCCACAAAACAGAAGAAATCTCAAAAGGAGGCGAGGAATGCGAAAGCGTCCAGTAGCAGCAAAAATACGGCTCAGGAAAATACGGCTTCAGATGGAACTAATAAATCACCGGTCGGCTTTCACGCTGAGCCAGGAAGTTCCGGACAAGTCACGCAAGGTTAGATTTAAAGACATTCTGTTCAAAGCAAAGCTACAAATTTATTATGTTATGGATTCATGGTACCTGATGGGATTTCTGCGGCAGTATCGTTGTCTTGATGAGTTTTTTATGCGTTTTTTGCAGCTATGTAATGCAGAAAACACATATTGACGAGGGGTTGTCTGTGTGTCTGTGTGTGCGCCTGTACCGATTTTTCATCTCAAGACCTACAAAGGCTACAGGGCTGAAACTTTGCACGTACGGTTCCCATTTCCCAAAACAGGTGCCCTTACCCGCGTGGTACCCTGGTACGAGCCCACCAAAGTTTTTTACAAGTAAGTTGATAACTCTGGAACTTTAAAAGCTAGAAGACTGTAATTTTGAGAGAACATTCCCCATCCACCTAAGTCTCATTGAGCCCAAACCCAGACAGCGGGTATGCGTGATACCCACGTACGGGCCCGTGAAAGTTTTTTCCGGGTAAGTTTATAAGTCGGGAAGCCGAGGAACTTGAAGACTGAAATTTTAAGGGATTGTTCCCCATTCACATAAGTATTAATGGGCTCAAACCTAACCCCGGTATGAGTCATTCCCACGTATGGGCCTGTAAAATTTTTTTCGGTTAAGTTGCTAACTCGGAAACCTGAGAAGCTAGTAGACCGGAATTTTGAAGGGATGCTTCCTGGCAGTCCTAGTGGCCAGACTGAAATTCTTTTAGCTAGAAGCGTCTGAGGGAAAAAACAGTACCGTTAGCGACAAAAATCTGCGGGGAGCTATGCAAAAAACGCACCTTCGCATGGGCAGCCCCTGCGTTGGTCAATTATTATTTTTTTTTCCTTTTGAAAAATGAAATAAATTATTTTCATTTCTGATGAAATGTGGATGTTGATTTTTACACACTTCCAGTAGTGGGAACTGTGAAACCGTCATAAGCGTGAGTTTTTGTGTCCGGTAGCTGTAGGTTTTTTTGTAAACGCTTTTTAAGGTTGTTATCTTCTTGCGAAGATATATTCCATAAGAAATTGGCGCATTTTATCAGTCATTCTTTGACTTATATTATTGTTGTGCAGCGTAAGTACTAATTGGACTGGGTGACCGCTACTTTCCTCTGTGTCATCTTCTGTTTTCGTCGAACTCCTTCAATATTATTATGCGTTTTTTGCACCTATGCAATGCAGAAAACCCATATTGACGAGGGATTGTCTATGTGTCCGTGTGTCTGTGCGTCTGTGTGTGCGTCTGTATCGATTTTTCATCTCAAGACCTATAAAAGCTACGGAACTGAAACTTTGGGGACTTGATCTACATGCACTTACGGGCCCCATCCCCAAAATGGGCGCCCTTACCCGCGTGGTGCCCACGTACGAGACCGCCAAAGTTTTTTACGGGTAAGCTGCTAACTCGGGAACCAGAAAAGCTGGAAGGCTGAAATTTTGTAAGCACGTTCCCCGTCCAAGTAGGTATTACTGAACTCAAACCCAGCCTCCGGGTATGCGTGGTACCCACTTACGGGCCCGCCAAATTTTTTTTTTTTTTGGTGAGTTGTTAACTTGAGAACCTGAGAAGCTAGAAGAGTGGAATTTTGAAGGGATGTTTCCTGACAGTCCTGGGGGGCAGTCTGAAATTCTTTTAGCTACAAGCATCTGCTGGAAAAAACAGTGCCGTTAGCAACAAAAATCTGCGGGGAGCTATGCAAAAAACGCATCTTTGCAAGGGCAGCCCGTGCGTTGGCCAATTATTTGCTGATTTCGGAGTATCTCAGATTATCCTTGGAAGTGCCATTTTTCTTTGATTGGGCGCACTAAAAGCCTTTCAGTTAGGACCAATTTCTGCAAATAACTGCGAGTCTGTGTTACGGGTGCAGTTAGGTGCTGTGTCACCTATTGAAAAAATCAGTTAAGTACCCATAAAACATCAGAATTATCGGTGTTGTCGGTTTGACATTCTCTCTGGCGCTGCTGCGATACAGCCGGACGCAGTTGCGCCAGGCCGTTCAACTTGATTGATCTACGTTCACTTTCTGTGTTAGAAATTTTGCTGTACCACATCAAATTTTGGTACAGCTGCGCCTGGCTGTTCGTTCACCATGTTAATTTGTCATTATTTCGTCGTACTGCATCTTAGCGACATCAGTATTTTTTGTTTTTTAACAAATTTCGATGATGAAGCTGTGAATCTGCTGATTACTGAAGTTTCAGGATCAAAATCTGACCGATTTGGGAAGGCACTGACGCCGCTGACCTCTCAACTAACTGTACAACCGTCCTCGACTGCCAAAGCCGAACCAGGCCTGAAGAAGAAAAAGAAACAAAAGCAAGAGCCGCAAAAATCGGTCGAACCATCAGGAAATACAGTGGTAGCGTGCGGGGATGCACAGTCTGCCACAGTTGCACATCCTGACGCAGTAGCAGGAACCAAGGGTGTTGCAACCGCAACTTCGACAAACATCCCTGAAGCAGCAAAGACTTCGGCGACCAACAAAGTAACAAATGCGCCAGTAGCAGCAACAACGTCAGGATTTAAATTTGCGCAGCCTGGAAAATCAGCAGATTCGCAGCCTAAAACAATTTCAACAGCCACTACGTCAGCGACACCTACGATGCCCGCGGCAGCAGCAGCAGCAGCAGCGA